CTGCCCTGGGGGTGCCCAGGCGCCGTACGGAGAGAACGGGGGTGTCTCTGTCCCAGCCATGGCAGGAGGCTGACTCAGGGGTGACAGAAGGAAGAGGGGCCCCAGGGAGCTGAGGGGGGTCCCAGCGGGGGCTGGGCGGAGGGAGAGAGAAACTGAGCTCACACGGGGGGAGAGGAAAAGGGGAACAGGACCAGAACTCTGCTCTCAGCAGCTCCCCAGCTGCCTGCAATGGGCCCAGGACTGCCCCTGTCTGTGCCCCGGGCCCTGGTGCTCTGGGGTCTGATCCATCCCTTCCCCCGGCAGAGCAGGGACCCTCCCATGGACTCTTGGGTCCTCTGCCGGGGGCAGGAGAAAGAGCAACGTCCCCGAGTGCCCCAGAGTCCATGCTGGGCACAGCTCCTCAGTCACTGGGGGAAGAGGAACTCCCCTCTTGGACCCCCACCCCCGCGCCAGAGAACCAGGAGAGCCCAAGGCCAAGAGAAGGCACGGAGGGGTGAGGCCGAGGGTTTTGGATACCAGAGGGGGTACAAGCTGAGGCAGGGAGTTGAGGTGCTGGAGGGGCTGAGGGCTTTGGGGGAGCCCTAGGGATAAGGGGCTGTAGGCAGGGGATTGGGCTCTGAGCTGGGGCTGTGGACTTTGGTGGGGGGAGATCAGGAAGAGGAGTCTGGGGGCAGGAGGTGGCCCCTGGGCTGGAGGAGGCTCAGGGAGGGGCAGTTTCTGGAGCTCTGAGGGGGGCATGAGACCCGAGGCAGCTCACCTGGTCTGTGCGCTCTTAGGGGTTCCCCGCTTTGTGCCCCCAGTGCGGCCGGCAGAGTGTCTGAGGGGGGGAGAGAGGGAGATTCAGGTTTGCACGGGGAGCCCAGAGCCGGGTTGTCATGTGACAGACACACTCAGGCCTCGTTCACGTCCGGCCTTTTGTCGTTCCCTAGGCCCAGGTCCTGCAGAGCCTTTGGCATCAAAGCCCATTTCGGCACTTTGGTCCCTGGGTGCTAACGGGATGTTCAGTGAGTGTGAGATCCTGGCTCTCGCTGGGAGCTGTTTATCCCTGGGGAAACTGAGGCAGGGGAGGTGGGCTTCATGGGCCAATTCACCCTGTGCCGGCAGAACAGGGCGGGGAGGCCACTTGTGACTGGTTGGTCAGTGGCTGCAGGGGCCGGGCCGGGCTTGGCTCAGGCTCAGCCAGAGTCACATCCCGGTTACAATGGCCCCGGGTGCCTGGGCTAGGGAGCAGAGCGCCAGAGGCCCAGAGTTACACTGACCATCTCCCTCTATCCCTCCACCCTCCACCTCTTCCTCCTGCCCTCCCCACCCCTCTCAGGGACAGGCCTTGGGCCTGCAACTGCTGGGAGGAGGCACAAGACCCCCCTGTTCTGGAGGGACCCCTCGCTGTGGGGGAGGGGCTTTCTCCTGCCCTGCAGCCCCTTGGCCCAGACGGGCTGCCAGGCGAGACCAGAGCTCAGGGAGGGGCTGGGCCCAGCTCGAACCCGCAGCGTTTAATTTTAGGTTTAGATTTTGGGTGCTGATTTTAGGCCCTGGGCCTGGGTCTCAGTGGGGCTGTGAAGGGTTAACTGGTCAAGCTGATAACCAGTAAGCATCAGCCTAATGCTCACTGGTTCCGGTTAACTGATAACCGGGCTGGGCTGGGGTAGAAGAACCAGCCCCAGTTCGGGGGCTGTGAGCGGCCTCAGCACGGGGGGGAGCCCCACGGGTTGCGCTGCTGGACAAAAATGTTGTGAGCACACAAGGGGCTTGCAGACACCCCAACTCTGCTGCTGCGGAGCAGCTGGGAAAGCCTAGAAACCGGCGTGCAGAGAAGCGCCCTGGGCCCGTCGGCCCGCGCCGAGTGGAAGGAACAAATCAGAAAAGGGACAAAGGTGAAAAGTGCTTGGGAAAGTCTCGGATGATTAAACACGTCCTGCGTGTGCAGCCTGGCCTCAGGCGCTCCGACCCAGGACTCTCCCCTAGCCTCAGATGGAGCCAGAAATTGCCCCCGATCAGCCCAATCAGCACCCCTGGTCATTCACAGCCCCATCCCTCACCTGCCTGGAGTTGTTTCTCCCACCC